GTTTAGAAGAATGAAAGGAAATTTTATTGAAACATACAGGACTCTGAACAGATTTTGCAGAGTAGATGCCGAGAAGATGTTTCTACTGGTGAGGGAATCTCAAAATAGTGGCCATTGCGATAGAAAAAGAGAACATTTATTTAAAACTGAGGCAAACAAGGATTACGTTGTACGAATGCATTATTTATAGTTGTTATATGCTATGAGGTGTTTCAGTGATTTGAGCAGAACCTACATACTGAGTAGGATTCTTTCAGAAATTCTTGTGTTGGATTCATATTCTGATAGCACCAAAGCAATTTTTATCTTCCAACAGCTGCATGAGCCATTGAGAGCATTTTTAAACATTTTACCCATTTCAATCAATAGGGCTCACGGCTCCATCACCACAAAATCCAGAAATATTTTCTGGATTGCTGATTGAGTTAGACCAGATCCTAAATACAATTAATTATGAGTGACATTTTCCAAAGGGTACTGATATCTGTGCAATTGTACTTATCAAGAGAAAAAAAAAGAGGGAAAATAAATAAAAGTTGTTGGGGTTATTGGAGGGGGGGGGAGTTAAAGAATCACAGGCACACACGCTCAACCAGGTTGTCTTTCAATTCTGCACCGCTACTTCCATTTTCAAGTTGGTTAAAAAGTAGCTGCTATAGACAAGCTACTGATTCTTTAGATTTCTTCATTTTGCATCACGTAGTGGATTTGGCAGCAGAAAAACCACTAAGCAGATTAGATATGGGGTGTCATTTATGGAAATTGCAATTTTCAATTCATTTCTAGCTGGTTAACAGTCACAGCCAATTGAGAAAACTTGGGTCAGAAAGAGGTCACTTCCTCTTTTTAAAAAAACAAAAACCAAAAAAAAAATCGCTTCAGTCATAGTAGATTCCCTATGCTTTCCTAAATGATCGCTTGTCCCACTCACGTGTACAAGTCTGTTCAAAAATCAAGGTGGAGAACAGAAACCAGAATCTTTCTCGAGAAAGTCACATACACATCAAGCAGCTCACATTTATCCAGACACTAAAATATATATATACTTTATGTTTAAAGCCAGCACTGAACCGTTTCCAGCCATCTGCACTTATTTTGCCTCTTACTGCATAGATACATCACCCGCTTCCCCACTGAGCACCATAAATTCAGTTCCTACTCTGTAAAGTACCCTGGAAAAAAGCAACCCAAAATCCTGTGTACTTTAGCAATTCATTCAAAACAGAGCTGCCTATGTTCTGTAAAAACTGAAAGAACTGCAGATGCTGTGAATCAGGACCAAAAACAGAAATTGCTGGAGAAATTCCAGTTCTACGGAAGGGTCACCGGACCGGAAATGTTAACTTTAGCTTTTTCTTCACAGATGCCGCCAGACCTGCTGAGATTCCCCAGCAACTTCTGTTTTTGTTCCTGATTCACAGCATCTGCAGTTCTTTTGGGTTTTTATTTAGTATTTAACTCACTGCCATATCTCTTCTAAGCATGCCCATCTTGAAGATGTTGTGCTCCCCTCTCCAAAGAGATTTCTGTTCCAATCTTTCTTCTTGTCTACCAACACTAATTTCACTGTCACTGCTGGTGTTTGACCAAGTATTTGCTAAAACCAGTTCTGAGGAAGGGTCATTGGATCAGAAATGTTAACTCTGAATTTTTCTTCACAGGTGCTGCTAGACCTGCTTAGCTTCTCCAGCAACTTCTGTTTTTGTTCCTGTCTATATTCTGTCTTGGTCATTTATTTACCCTATTGTCAATGACCTAAATTAGCTACATTTTCCTCAATACAATTCAAATTAATCATTCTCATTTCCAAAGCTCTCCATGTCATTGTACATTTGCAATCTTTTCTGTCTTGTATCATTTACTGCATTCTTCTGTCCTTGGGCATTCTTGATTTCTTCTCCCCAAGCTGGTTTCTAGCCATGGCACTTAAAACTGTAATTCATCAAATGCGGGATCAGCTTTCTACCTTAGGAATGCAGATATGGGGCATTTTGTAATGTCAGCTCTGCAGTAAAGCAATTTCCACTGCTTAGCAATGGTCAAGGCCAGTGACCCCTACATCCTGTGCATGGATTTAAAATAAAATTAAAGTTGCAGAATAACTGATTTTGGATCTTAGTAGCCTGCAGTAAGAGGAAACATGAGAATCCTGGATAAGGCAGTGCTACAGAAATACAACACAAACACAGCAGAACTTCAATCATGTTAAACCTGATTTTAAAAGTATACTTAGGTGGTTCACCTGGGACCATTTTAAAAACACCTTCTTCATCACCCTGTGTACCTGTGACCCTACTTTCAAGGAATGATGCATCTGCACTCCTAGGTCCCTGTGTTTGGCAACACTCCCCAGAACCCTACCATTACCTGTATAGGTCTTGCCCTGATTTGCCTTACCAAAATGCAACACCTCACATTTACCTAAATTAAACTCCATCAGCCCATTGGCCCCTCTGATCAAGGTCCTGCTGTACTGTGAGATAACCTTCTTTGCTGTCCACTACGCCACCCAATTTTGGTGTCATCTGCAAATTTAATGACCACACCTCCTATATTCACTTCCAAATCACTTATATAAAATGACAGAAAACAGGGCCTAGCATCGATCCTTGTGGCATGCCACTGGTCACAAGCCTCCAGTCCAAAAAACAACACTCCACTGCCACTTTTGCTCCTACCTCAAGCCAATTTGGTATCCAATTGGCTAGCTCCCCCTAGATTCCATATGATTTAGCCTTGCTAACCAGTCTACCATGCAGAACCTTGTTGAATGCCTTGCTGAAGTCCATATAGACGTTCACCGCTCTGCTCTCAATCTTCTTTGAAGAAGTGACAAAAAAACTCAATCAAGCTAGACACATGAGATTTCCCACACACAAAACCATGTTGAATCTCCCTAATCAGTCCTTGCCTCTCCAAATGCATGTAAATCCTGTCCCTCAGAATTTCCTCCCAACAACTTACCCACCACTGATATCAGGCTCACAGTCTATAGTTCCTGGCTTTTCCTTATCACCTTTCTTAAATAATAGCACCACATTAGTCAATCTTCACTCTCCCACACCTCACCTGTGGCGATCAATGATACAAATATCTGAGCAAGGGACCCAGAAACCTCTTCCCTAGTTTCCCACAATAGCTCTGGGATACCTCTGATCTTGGTGATTTATTCATTTTTATGCATTTTAAAACTTGTAGCACCTCCTCTTCTGTAACGTGGACACTTTAAAGTACATCACTATTTATTTCCCCAAGTTCTCTAGCTCCCAAATCCTTCTTCACAGTAAATACTGACACAAAATACGTTTAGTATCTCACCCATCTCATGTGGTTCCACACCTGGATGGCCTTGTTGATCTTTAAGGGGCCCTATTCTCTCCCTAGTTACTCTTTTGTCCATAACGTGTTTGCAGGATCTCTTCAGGTTCTCCTTAATCCTTTTTGCCAAAGTTATCTCATGTCCCTTTTTCTCCTACTGCCCTTATACTCCTCTAGGGATTCAGTTGATCCCAGCTGTCCATAACTTGACATACATCTCCTTTTTCTTGACCTAAGCATTCACTACACCTACTAGCCTTGCCTTTCGCACTAACAGGAACATATTGTCTCCAATGTTAGCTCATTTTAAAAGGTCTCCCAGTTCCTATCCATCCCTTTACCTGTGAGTCGTCTCTCACAATCAACTTTTGAAAGTTCTTGCGTAATACCATCAAAATTGGCCTTACTCCAATTAAGAACTTTAACTTTTAGATCAAGTCTATTTTAAAATGAATAGAATTGAACATCTTTAGCCCCAAAGGGCTCCCCACCATTGACACCTCCGTCATTTGCTCTGCCTTATTTCCCCAAGAGAAGGTGAAGTTCTGCTCCTTCTCCAGTAGATACATCCATATACTTAAAAAAAAAATTCTTGTACACACAAATTCCTCTCCATCCAAGCTCTTAACATTATGACAGCCTCAGTCTATGTTTTTAAAAGTTAAAATCCCTCACCATTACAACCCTATTACTCTTAAAGCTATCCAAGATCTTCTTACAAATTTGCTTCTCAAATTTCTTGCTGTCTGTTGGGGGCCTATAATACAAACCCAATAAGGTGATCATCCTTTTCCTATTTCTCAGATCCACCCACATAACTTCACTGGACAGTCACCCAGGAATATCTTAAGTGCAGCTTCAATGTTATCCTTAACCAAGGACGCCACTGCCCCTCCTCTTGTCCCCCTTCTATCCTTCTTATAGTATCTATACCTAGAACATTAAACTGCCAGTCCTGCCCCTCCCTGAGCCATATTTCTATAATAGCTATGATATCGCAATCCCATGTTCTCAACCATGTCCCGAGTTCATCTGCCTTTCCCTCAAGGCCTATTGCATTGAAATAAATGCAGTTTAAATGTATTAGTCCGACCTCATTTTCTACCGTGACTGTTCAAGTGGCTCTTCTCTACTGTACCTGCCTTAGATTTGGTAATATTGACACCACTCCCAGGAACAGAGCATTCTTCAAATGTTTAAGCTTGTACAAAAGACAGATTGTTGCTTGAAGAACAATGCACTAATTCATTTGAACCAATGTAAACTGAATGCTCCCAGAATTTAACACAACTCTCAAATCACATGATTTACGTAGGAGAAAAAAATTCCAAAATTTGGGGCAGGACAATTTTAGGTATCCAGGAAAAACATCTGCAAAACATATAAAAGGAATGGGCAACTTGGGAGTTGAAAATAAATTATGATACAATTTACAATGCAAGTGTATTAACTTCAGAGGCCTGAATAGACTGATTTCTTTCCTTGAGATCACCGATTTCCTGTAAAACATCCCACGCCCCCACCCCCACAGGCCATTCCTTGCTATGTACGTATCAACTGGATCACAATTTTACATGGCAATTTTTATATTCCAGTCACTTACACCATTTTCAAAAGCCATTTCAAAAGTAACAAAAAACGATTATAAATAAGTTTTAGATGTAGATTAAAAAAACCCTGCATTGTTTGCAGTAATGCTTTAATGATAATTTCTGTGAAACATTCAAAACATAAACTAGTGTATTTTTAGATTTATTGTACACTTTGCATATCTAATTGTGCACATCACAAGCAGCTAGCAAGTATAAATATAAATTCGTTCTCTGGTAATCCACTCATTCGGCAATTCCTCACTTTTCATTACAAGTCATATCCATTTCTTGACAGTGATCTCACATTCACTCAATTAGTCATATTTTGCTTGACAGAAGCCAGAACAATTTGACTTTTAATAAAACACACTTGGTACATCGTACCAGTTGCACAGATCCAAACTAGATAGTGGTGAAAATGTCTCCAAATATCGTGAAATATATTCCTGAGAATTTCTTGCACCTTACACCTCTTCCTTTTACTGTAACATAAGCATCAAACCTCTCCCCACTCTATACATATACTTCGTTCTGTTCTTTAATGGGCATTGTTTTGTGGATCCTAGGTGAATTAAAACTTCACCCACTAGCAGTGTGTACCAATTGTTTTTGTCTGCAGGAGCAGTGAAGATTTCAAACAAAATATAAGCAGAGACAGAGTAACGTTCTGGATTTGCAGTTTTCAGCCAGAAAAGGGAGCAGTGCAGATGCTGAAGTCAGGGGAGCAGTTGCTGTTTTGCCTCCCATCCGCTCACATCCCTTCCCCGCGTAGCTGGGGGAATAGTCTGGGTTCTGCCCCACCAGACACTTTGTGGCAACCTGGACTCCGCAGCCCACATTCACTCCACCGGAGCTGGGAGAAAGACAGCCTGGGCTCTGCCCCTGTGCCGTGCCAGGCCAGCCCCGGGACCGGGTTAACTGAGCAGCCGGGGCAGCCTGGCCGCCTCCTCCACCCCATGCAGCCAGTCCAGGCACCTCTGGTACAGCGCCGGGTCTCCCGGTTCGTCTTCCTCCTCCTCATACTCCACGTCGTCGTATTTGTGTTGGTTATTGAGCAGCGAGATCTTCACCAGGCTCCGGATACCGGCCGCTGAGGCTGAGGCCGAGATGGTTTGAGCAGACCCGGAGCTCGGCTGCTGGAGACAGCCGAGTGGCCGCGGGCCCTGCCTCCTGCTCCTGCCGGGCCCCGGCGGCTGGCGCTCCAGGCTGCGCCTCTGGATCAGCAGCACGGCCTCAGGGGTCAGGCTGAGCGAGAAGCTCCCCTCCCCAGCGCTCTCCTCCAGCCCACTGCGGGACGAGTTGTCATGGCTCCTTGTGCCCGAGTCCGCCGACCTGGAGGCGGGCCCGCTCTCACTCGAGCTGCCCGCAGCCCTGGGGCCCGCGGGTCGAGGCTGCGGTCGGCGGCCGCCTAGCCGCGGCTTCGCCTCCGGCCACGAGTTGGAAAAGCCGCCGCGACGGCCCCGGTCCCCGGCCGGCGGCACTGGGCCTGCCCTTGGCCCCCGCGCCAGCTCCTGCCGCTTCCCGGGGAAGCAGCAGCCCCCGGCTGAAGCGATTGGAGGGAAAGGCACGGCGGGTCGGCGACTCCCCGGAGGGGTGTCTAACTTCATCGCCCCAGCCGCCTTCAGGATCGAGTAACCAGAGAGCGTCCACGGGTCCTCCTTTATTACAGGGGGCAGGAGGCCGGTAACCCTCCTCCAGGGCCGAGTATGTCACCTCCCCCTCCCCCGAACTGAGGCTATCTCCTCCTCCTCCTCTAACTGGGGAATGGTTTGGAAATTAATGCTACCATTGACGTCGACACCCACGTCCCAAAAAAGTATAAGGTGTATAACTATTGTTGCTTCACTTGTAAAGGTACAATAATTTGAAAGGAACCTAGATAAGTTTCAAGATTCAGAAGTGTTCTGAACTTATCTTAAAAAAACAATTTTTCACTCTGAAGAGTGAAGTATAGAATAAGAACAAACATTCTAGAAAAAAAAAACTCAGGTTAAGCAACATACGCAGAGAATAACAGAGTTAACATTTCAAAGTTAATGACTTTTCATTAGAACTTTGTATTAACGTACTTATTACACCAAGAACTATCAATGCCGGAGATCTGAAACGATCAAAAACAGAATTTTCTAGAGAAACTCGGCAGGTCTGGCAGCATCTGTGGAGAGAAGAGAGTTAACATTTTCTGCTCAGTGACCCTTCTTCAGAAATTTGACTTTTTTAATAAACTGTCACATGTTGCACATGGGCCAGACCAGGTAAGGATGACACATTTAATTCCCTAAAATAACGTAAGTGAATTAGATCATTTTATACAACAAAGGTAGCTACTAACTTTTTACTATTACTAGCTTTTAATTACAGATATTTATAAGTAATTTAATTTCCAACAACTCCCATGGTCGGATGTGAACACGTCTGTATAGCATTAGCTTGGGTTCTGAATTATAAATCCAATAATATTGCCACTATTTCCAGCACCTTCTAATACAATTGTTTCCTATGAGGGACTTTCCAATTGATTCATGACAGTTGAGCACTATGCTCCATACAGTCAGTTGGGCTATTACGTATTTATGGATTGCAGCCAGTAATATAATTGCAGCAATTTCACTGACAATCCCCTCAGCAAAACCTAGGTTCATGTTAGCTGATGATTTTATGCCTGAAAAAAAAAGACATTGGCACAGATTGTGGAGTGTTTGAAGGAATTTATTTGTTTTGCCACCAAGTTCAGTTCAAAGTCTGGATTCATGCATCACAAGGTTAAATCATAGGTTTGTGATCTCATGCATTTAATTTCCACAGCAGTGGTTATTCATTATGTAAAACAGGTGCAGGAAGTTTACAATACCATCAAACAGCTTTGGGAGTTGTTTGAGGTATGCATGATTTAATGCTGATGAAAACCTTTTCCTGTTAGTTTTCAAGAACAAAAAAATGGACCAAGATGAAAAATTATAAAATATGGCTTTTGACACAGCAACAACAGAGGAACAGCAATGTAGTTCCAGGTAAAGATTGGGTAAGAATTGAAGAAGTTAGAGGTGATGGTGTTCCCATGCTGCCTTATCCTTCTATTATGGTAAAGGTTACAGGTTTAGAAGGGGGTATGAACAATGCTGATGCTGTTTCACATGTTGGTAAAAGTATAGATACTGATTTTCTACCTTAAAGAAAGCTTTTCTTTAGTACCTGTACTTTGTATCAATGGGAAATATGTCTTGTTACATGTGAATATTTACTTCTACTCTTTCTCATTGTGAAATAGATGTGGTATTAGGACTTTTACATTGTTCCAATCAAATTGCAGATAAACCGCAGCATGACAGCAATAGCAGAAGATGGATCTTACAGTCTTAACTTTGCTGCATGAACCCAATATAAACGATTATAACTAAACATTTGGTATTGCACACAATAGCATTAACATTTAATGTGTTTTGGTGTATATGAGGAGTCTATTACAATGTGAACACAGTGACAAAAATCAATCTGTTATAATCCTTGCAGGGGGAATAGTAAACCAAAGTAATTGTATGTACTGGATGACCCACGAGGGAAGAAATGAGCAAGACTTCACTTTTTCTAGCTTTTACTTTAATACAATTCAGAAGCACTGCAAATTAGAAATGAATTAAGAAGTAAATGATACTTCAAATAAAGGCAAATTTTAGCGGAAATAGTTGATAACAAAAACATCCTACCCACAAGTTTTTGCATCATTTTTCCAATAGTGGCACTGCAGTTACCCAATTTGCTGTTCTTTATTCATGTAGGGTATGTCAATAGCAATCTCAGATAATAGCCTCCACCTTCAAGTTTCACAGCCATGATTATCATCAGCAAGACACGCTTCACATTTGCTGCCCTATGTGAGTCAAAACAGTCTTGACAGTTTGCATTCCTTTTCAACCAACACCACTGTTCAGTTGGGCAACTTATGGGTAAATACCCAATTCTATACCATCCCCAAGCTATTCATAGTTATTCAGTTTTTAGACCTATTGAGCCAGCTTGCACAGTGCCTCAAAAAGCTCCCATCTAGTTTTCTGCCAAATTAAACTAAAAAATAAATACTTTCAGGAAGTGGTCAGTTTTTAAGTATTAGATGTTCCTTTTTTTGTCTGCTTTCTTTCTCTTCATGTCTGCACCTGTACACAAACTGCCTTCACTATTCAGCCTTTCAGCTGCAGTACTCTGTATCTATAAGGCACATAGCCTCTTTTTTCAACCTATTTTCTGTTGCTATTGCTTCCAGGCCAAGGGTTGGTAGGTCACATGCATCTATTTTCAAAAAGAATTGATCCCTTTTATAATCAATGCAAATTGTGAAAAATCTTTTTCAAACAGGTTTGAAAGGAATTACAGATTTCACAGTTTTCTAAAGAAATTACACATCTTCCTTACTGCACTGTTTCTGGGTCAAAGGTCATCACAACCTCCATCAGACAAATTATAAACAATGGCTGTCACTGTCTAGTCACTCATGACCATTTGATCAACAAACAGTCCACTCAGCAAGGAATTTGTAAGAATGTACCTATCTATTCCTGCACTGGTCTCATTCTTGATAGAACAAAAATCTATTCATAGGCTAAAAGCTAATTTGCTGTGTATTTGTTAGAATCTGTCTTAATTCCAGGAAATTCACAGAAAAATACCTACAATGCTAGAAATTTGTCCAGTGAGTAGCTGAACCATGAGGAAATGGAAAACTCCAAGGAAAGTTTGATTTCTGGATAGCAAAATTGACTAACAATGTAAATGTGAAGAACCATTTAGGTAGAGGAACACGGACCCATATTTCTGGTTAGTGTTCAGCATAACTGAGATCAAGACATTTATAGTTAAAGGTAGTAAAACATGCAGATCAAAGGCAGATGAATGATGCTAAGGTACTGATTATTCATAATCTAACTAAATAAAGGAATAGGCCCAACAAGTAGAGTGGCCTATTTCTGTACTTATGTTCTTCAAGGACATCTTGAAGTACATAACCTTAGTTTTTTTTCCACTGCAGAAATTGTAGACAAACACTGCAACCAATGTGTGCAAAGCAAAATATAAGATTAGATTAACAAGTGGTCATGAACTGAGTAAAAGCAATAGAAACTATTGCTAGAGATTGCAGGAAATGTGCAAAAGCTCTCATCAGGCAGATGTCCAATAGATCTGGGAAACAGTAGAAAACAAGATATAGTTCCAACTGGGCACCAGTAAATAGCAACTTTCTGCTGTACTTATGTATTCCAATACTTAATACATTTGACAAATAAATAAATCTAAATCTAAACATAACGGCGGTATCATTGTTTGGAGGACAGTGGTGAGCATGTTGAAGGTTGGTATAGATGACCCCATCATTTCATGTGATTATACTGCAAAGAACAGGCAAACACTTAATAGGACCATTGACTTCCAGGTAATAGGCAAATAAAAACACAATAACCTATATCTAAACAGAGTTATTATTTGAGTGGTTCAATTTTATGTACAAGCTCTGTTTATAGTAAAAGCAATAATCACTTTAAAGTAGCACACAGATTCAGTTTTTGCTAAATAAATGGCGCTTACAATTATTAGCCTTCCACTTTGAAATTCAGAAGCAAAATTCATTCATTCAGCAAAACAAATAAAACAGGTAGTAGAAGCACTATGGAATGATGTTAAATATGAAAAATAATTGACTAAGGACAAAAGGCTTGATTCTTTGGAACAGCATATAATCAGTAACATGTGCAACAGACATTTTTAAAACAAATTTATATTACATCATTTTCTATTTAATAAACAAATGAGTAATATTTAGGAGTCACCCAAGGAACAAAATACACAGTAGGCAGTCTTTCCCCATGGCTACAAGCAACCTTCTGAAAGTATCGAAGTCTGGTCTACTTTTACATCTTCCAGATTTATCCTATGCAGGAAGTGCAACATTTTATGACAGCATCCCTTAAAAAAATTAAACAAAAAAAAAAGGAATTAGGAAAGACAGAACCTGCATTTATATGATATATTTCATAACTTTAGGATGTCTGTGTGCTTAAAAGCCAAATTGTATATATTCTGTATCATAGAGCCCCTACAGTGTGGAAACAGGCCCTTTGGCCCAGCAAGTCCACACCGACCCTCAGAGCATCCCACCCAGACCCAGCCCCCTACAACCCACCTAATCTACACATCTGTGAACACTATGGGCAATTTAGCATGGCCAATCCACCTAGCCTGCACATCTTTGGACTATGGGAGGAAACCGGAGCACAGGGAGGAAACCTATACAGGCATTGGGAGAATGTCTGTGTGAAGTTTGCACAGTCACCCAATGGTGGAATTGAACCAGAGTTCCTGGCGCTGTGAGGCAGCAGTACTAACTACTGAGCCACCGTGCCACCATTGTTGTAATGCAGGAAAAGGTCGCAGTAAAAGGAACATAATATGTGAATAATGAATGCACTGGCACTTTGTTTGAAAATGAACCCAAACTGCACCATAATTAAATATTTGTTGTATTCTTTAAACTCAGAGCTATGCAAGAAGAGAGTTCAATCAAGTTCTAACATTTTGTGTCACATTGGAAAAGTGCACATAACTATATTAATGGTGCTACAATCTTTATTGACTGCTCCATAAAATGCACAATTTGAGCAACGTTGCAGAAGCCTGAAGTGGTCACCCTCCAAATAATTGATTAGAAGGGTTCAGACATGGTTGGCACAGCACATTTGTTTTGAGAAATATGGACATGTGTATTATCACTATCTGCAAAGTTTTTCCTGACCTGACAATACTGCCCATCCGCTTCCAGGATCTTCCAATCCCAGCTGATGCAGAAATGGGCAACAAAGGGATTCCAGGCCAAATCACACTGGTGTAGGAGAGGACAGCTCCCTTTTTGCTTTAATAGCTGCCATTTAAGGTTTTCAACTGTCTTTTAATGTGCAAACAGATGGGTGAGTGGTGATCAAGAGGGGCAAAAGTGAGTTGTGATACTCTAAGTTACCTAGCTGTTAAACCAGGTATTAAACTGTGCAACAAGTTTAAGGGTAGGTATGCAGTAAGTCTAGACTCTGAGAGGGAAAATACCCACTCAGCATTTGCCCTGCCTTATGTTTCAATGAGATCACCTCTCATTCTTCTAAATTCCAGTGCACAGAGTTCTAACCTGTATAGCTTTTGCTTGTGAGACATCCCTCTATATCAGGATTATCGTAGTGAACCTTCTCTGAGCTGCCTCTAATGAAACAATATACTTCCTTAAATAAGGGGACCAAAGCCGCACACAGTATTCTGGATGTGGTCTCACCAGCACTGTGTCCAGTTGCAGTAAGACTTCCTTATTCTTACGCTCCAAGCCCCTTGAAATAAGGGCTAACATTCCAATAGTCTCCCTGATTACCTGCTATACTTGTGTATTAGCTTTGAGCATGAAACTCAAAGATATCTCCAAGTCCCTTTGAGTTGCAGCTTCCTTCAGTTTTTCTCCATTTAAATAACATTCTGTTCTTTTGTTCTCCCCTTCAAAATGAACAACTTCACATTTTCACACATTAAACTCCATTAGCTAACTTTTTTGCCCACTCACTTAACCTATTAATATCTCTAAACTGTTCGTATCCCTGTCACAAGTTGCCTTTCAACCTATTTTTGTGTCATCTGCAAGTCTGGCTATAATACATTCACTTCCTTCCAAGTCATTAGTATATATTGTAAAAAGTTGTAGTCCCAGGACTGTTCCTTGTGAAATCCCACTGATTACAGGTTGCCAACCTGAAAAATAATGTATTATTCCCGCTCACTATTTCCTGCCCATTTGCCAATTCTTATCCATTCCAATATATTACCTCCAACACCATTGGTACTTATGACTTAACCCTTTATGAGGCACCCTGTCAAACATGTTTTGGAAGTCTAAATACAACACATCTATGTAGTTCCAGTCTACCCTCTCTGGTTGAGATTTCCTTGAAAAACTAACAAATTAGTCAGACATGATTTCCCTTTCATGAAGCCATGCTGATTCTGCTTGATTATATTTGGTTTTCCAAGTATGCTATTACTTTCTCAATTGATCCCAATACTGTTCCAACAGCCTACAGCTGCCAGCTTTTTGCCTCCCTCCCTTTTTGTGTCACATTGGCAGTTTTCCAATCCTCTGGTACTTTTCCAGAATCCAATGATCTTTGAAAAATTTCAACGAACTCTCTGTAGCTACCTCTTTTACACAAACTTTGTGTGAGTACTGAACTTCTTACAGCTCCATTAGTTTGTCTAATATTACTTCTTCAGTGAGGATGATGGTACCTAATTCCTGCCCCTGAATTCTTTAGTACTAATGAAATACTTGAAGTATCTTTCACCATAAAGACTGACACAAAATATCTGTTTAACTCCCCTGCCATTTCCTTGCTCCCCAAAACTGACTCCCCAAATTATTTTTTTTTAAACCACTCTATAATCCACAATAGTAATTTAGATAAAGGAACATGTGCTTTTTTAGTTTTCGCAGTTCTGTATAAATTCATTTAGCTGCAATAACAGTGGAGAATCCATTATCAAAATACTTAAGTAGTATAAACGAAAAATAAAATGACCTGAGTTCATAACAGAAATTCTGTACCAACTTATTGTCTGAAAATTTTAGTCAACTACATACCATCTTTCCTCTAAGACAACCGAATTTAAAAATTGAGGCAGATTCTCACCTAATTTTTAATGTGGTGGAGTAGAGTATGCTAACACAACCTGAGTACGCAATGTAAATACTCGGGGGCAAGTATTTGCTAAACTTAGAGGGGGGAAAATCCAAAACAAATCAGGAAGCACAGAAAGCTGCTCTCTTCCAGTGGATGATGACCCTTCTGCCAGGAAGCCCTGTTTCAATGATTTACAGGGAATAATGTTCAGTTTTGTGCGTATAAATTAAGATGTTTTAACACTAACTGAAAAGAGTGCAACAGGATACAAAGTTTGTCCCTGAACCAGCTTCAGCTCATGATAATTTAAATTTTGCACTTAAGCGAGATATTTTCCTTTCTCACACAAGGATATGCCTATCTGCAGTTGGCTGATTTTGCATAAAGATGTTTAGAGTGAGCATACAGAGGAGACTTCCTAATTACAAACTCACATCCCACAGGTGAGACCGTAATGAGGTAACATAATTTATACTCATTTCCCCTCCTTCAGTAATGGAATCTTTGTGCGTGATATTATTGTATCCACTAACTTAATTGTACAAAACCACCTTTAGCCATTTAACAAACAAGGAAACTAGCTTGTATCAGACTTACTGACAGGAAACGATTACCTGGGACAGAGAATTTAGAACTAGGACCCCAGGATAAGGTGTTGTTCATTCAGGATTCAGATGACAAGAAATTTCTTCACTCAGATGGCTGTGAATCTTTGGAATTCTCTACATTGGAGGCTATGGAAGTGCACTTCTTGAGTACATTCAAAATTAAGATCAAATAATGCTTGGATACCAAAGAACCAAAAACTAAGTCATGGAGTATAGGGATTGGGAAATACGGTGGAGTTGAAAAAGATCAACCAAGGTCCTAATAAATGCCTTTGCAGGCTCAAGGGTGTATATCTACTTCTCTTATTTCTTATTTTCTTAAAATTGAAACAATTGAATGCTACAACGATACAAGCACAGTTTGATGAAACAGCTTCCAGTGCATACTTGTATATCTAACTTAAAAATGGGTACTTTTTAAAAAACTCACCTTGCAAAGGGAATGTATGACAGACTATACCTGAAAAAGAAATTGGAGAGAGAAAGTTATAAATCTCAATAAAGTTTGAATAAAATCTATATTAGGTTGTCACAAAGTTGGAAAGGTTGCAGCATCTTGATAATAAAATCTCCATTACAGGAAAAAGTCAAAACGCAAATTAACCAATGGAGGATTAAAATCCACTATGCCTCATTAGGACTTAATGGTTCAGAATAGTTCTGTCAATTTGGTTTGCAAAGGAAATGCACTATTGCAACTGTGGTATGTTTTGTTTAGGAGTAATTTTGTATTAACACATTCAAAAAGTATGCACCTCTATGATAACTGGCTTCATTAACCACAATAAAATAACCATGCAAGAAATTCAACTAGATCCATATCCTATGACTTTGTCTACACTTGCACTCTATGATGTGTTGCAACGTATTACTTAATGCTCTTTTAAAGAATGGTGACTTACTACAAGACAAAGGGGAAAAAATCCTCGTTAAAGAACAATAGATTAGTTGAACAGTTGAATTACTAGGTCATAGTATGAAATTGTTTTAGGTACGTCAACCAGTTAAGTTTAATTAACCTGATCAAATGTGTTATGACGTACCTGCAAGGCAGGAGGCACTTGAACCCGGAGTCCTAACCCAAAGGTAAGAACACTTCCACTGTGCCACATGATCCTCTCAACCAGTTTGTATCATTACAAGAATGTTTTATATTAAGCTGCTAACTGAACAAAGTGACAACTCCAATTCTCACTACAGTGCAAATTAACTTTGGTAATGCCTCAGAGCACACCAGAAATATGCCAAGACTTATTTTCTACTGACATCCTTGAGCCTTTAAAGTTTGCTTTGTAAAAGACCGCTAGCATCGAGACAGTCTGAAATTTACGTTACTATATCATGGTAAATTGCTAATAGACATGGGACAATGGTGCAAGATCATCATGCTAATCAGGCATTTTTAAGACGTTTGACAATGTTCCACCTGAAAAAGATATTAGTAGAGTAAGGATATAAGGATCAGACTCCCTAGAGTGTGCCCATCATGTCTGCACCGACCCTCTAATGAGTATCCCACCAAGACCCAGCACCCTACACTATACCCATAACCCCACATTTACCATGGCTAATCCACTGAGGCTATACATCCCTTGACACTATGGGGCAATTTAGCGTGGCCAATCCACCTAACCTGCACATTTTTGAATTGTGGGAGGAAACTCATGCAGACCGGGGGAGAACAATTCAAAATACGTCAGTGTTAAAGTTAATGCAGGCACAAAGGAATGAGTGGCCTTTGTGACACAGCTAACAGAAAAGAGGGTGGAGAACAATGGCGCTCATTAAATTAATGACATTGGCGTCTAATGGAGAAATAACCATTCCAAGATCAATGTGGAGACCAGTATGCTGTATAATTTACATCAGGTTCTTGGATTCAGAAAGCCAATGGAAATTTGCAGATGGTATCAAGCTAGGAACAGCAGCAGTGAGAGAAGAGGCAGTCCAGAAAATAATGATTGGATAAAGTCAACTAAGTTAACAAAAGTAATGATAAATTAAATTTGGAAACAAAATACAACAAATAATATACAGACATCACAAAAATGCTACGATATTGGAACAGCAAAACAAAAGGACAAAATTGTATTTATATACGCTCTTCTCTAACTTCAAGGTATTTCAATCACGCAACTGATTACTTTTATTCAGTATGGTGTAAACTTGGTTAGCAAACTGCAAATTAGATAAACAAATGTTATTACAAGTGACAGAGAGACATGGAATTAAAAAAACATGACTTTCTGATAAATACTGTCAATATTTTATATATAGGCAGATCAATTAAGTAATTTAGCGCCAATGTTCCAATTCTGTTATATATTTTAACTTCTATTTAGTCAGTAACACTTCCTTTGCATTCAAAATATTAGATAACACTTTACCAGTCCATATTCTTCACCTTAATAGTAAACATTAATTTGTTGCTGTTTCTCAATTTCCTTTCAAGAGAAATAATTGTGAAGTTAATCTATTGGTGTACCAATACTTATGGATGCAGCATACTGCCAACTATATCAGTTTAAATCAAATATAAGTTCACTTTGTCACCAAACCATTGTTATGCAGCAAGGCTCTTGTCACAGGAATTTCAACTGTTAAAAAAGATTAGAATGATTATCTGCTTGCAAAATCTGAAAATGCTCCTGTTGCTGGTGGCCCCACTTTTATGATTGCACAGTTGCAAGTGGTTGCCACAACAATATTTAAAGACTTACAATGATTCATGCTGCATTGTAGTAAAAGGAAAACAAGGCAGGCACTGCTTACTGGGCAGTGAGAAGTCATTAATGGTAAAGACATTCTGTTAACAATGGATGCAGAGAGAAAACACAAGTTTAAAACATGAAGGAGCTATCTAACTGAATCCTTTAGCACCTTTAATATGTCGATTTACTTTATTTTAGCAAACAAAAACCCTGGAGCCCAGCAGTATCCTCCTTATTTGCTGATCAAGGTGGTTAGCTTACCACTTAGACTGTAGAGGATACATTTCTTTGGTAAAATGAAATACTGTATCTTTCTACAAACAAAACCAGGTTTGCACTGATGCCACATGTAGGGAGTGCTATCTGATTTATTGTTCACCAGCTTCCTGGTTCTGACACTGGGCTTACGTAGTGGAATGTGGGAAAACACAGGAGGCAGATGCTTCAGAGACAAAGAAAACTCCGATTTTATTGAATAAACAAGCAAAATTTAATATATTTACAGCAAATGAGAAAGTGAATATCAAAAAACCTGTCTATTTCTCACTGATATCTGTCTTCCAGTTAACTTGACTCCCAGTCAAGCCTTGCAGTCAAGACTTGATACAGTAGGTAAGTAGACACAGTGGTTGGCTGTTACTTTTGCTAACAGGGGAAAGAGAAAGAGAAAGAGAGAGCGGGGGCGGGAGAGAGAGAATACCTGCTGACCCAGAGTCCGATTCGGCTTCCCTTCCCGAGGGGTGCCCTACACCATTAGATAGGGAAAGGTGGGGTTTGGGGCTAAGACTAGACAAGCTGAGTTAGAGGGTCTCAATGACCTTAGGCTCACCCCTGGTGTGAAAACGCGATTTTGACTGGCTCTTGCCATAGCTGGGACTCCGCAAAGGGTTGCAAGTACCAGTAACAGTCAGTCAGTCTAGTGGTGTCCACTGATGCGATTAGACATGTGGGACCAGACCGGTGAGGACCTTGGTTTTATTCCTTTCTTTTCTGGTGGTCCTTGCGAGCGGGTTGTTGTCTTGGTTGGTGGTGAATGTTGCTGGCATTGCCCTAGTTGATATCTTGTCTCTCTAGATGCCTTCGGTTACCTCTGGACGTTGAGTAGAGGTTCATAGTTAGTTGCTAGTGTTCAGTAGTTGCAAGGGCTGCTTTCCTTTGGGAGCGGAGCTTGCTTCTCGCTCAGATTCTCGAACTCTCCTCACAGAGCCCATCTTAGAGCACACACCGTGTTGGAATGGGGGCACGTTGCTCGTATCACGGGGCTGGTGTCTCTTTCTCTTTCCTTCTCTCCACTGCTGGGCTCAGGGTCTCCAGTTATACCCAACTGCAGGCCCCCTCATTTCCCACCAAATCTGTTGAGCTATTGTTCATCCTTTCAGGGCTAAATGAGCTTCCTGATCACTGGAGTAGGTATGAATGGTTTTTTGATTGAGGGGAATGGTTTTGATGGTTTTGGAACGTCCAGTATTTCTTGGATGGGTATTCATTCAGGTTTGAATAGTGTTATGAATGTCTTTACATCCACAGGTGGAATTAGGTTTGCATGTAGCACAATGGTGTGGAAAGTTCAGCATTTCTGTGCCCGAGCACTGGCTGGAAAATTGTATGGCTTTGTACCTCTGTAGGCTCCAGAAGGTCTGAAGTTGTTGAAGCCGTTTGTTTCCTGTGGTCTGGCTTCCATCGTTTAAGCTGGGGCATAAATTCTTCCTTTAACTTCTGCAAACTAACCTCTGTTCCAAATATCTGCCTCCTGGGTTTGCACATTTACCAATCTGTCCCAACCAGCCTTTTCCTGGTTCTGTTGCAGCAAATGGTTTCTGGCATCCCATCTGCTCTGCGAATTTAATCCAATGTAATTTCCACAACTTCTGCCTTCAGCGGGTTTTAAGTCCAGGGTATGTCCATAAACTGATGAGGATTTTTGCCCCACCTTAGGGCTGGCTGCATAGAGTCCCCGATTTGTTCTGAAACTGTTCAGCAAAGACCACCCTCACCTTGGTACAGTAAATCCTTGATATCTGCCTGTCTGCACCAAAAAATAAGTAACAACAGAAATCAACATCCATGGGCAAAACCTGTATCCATGATTTTTAAACGAGCTCCACACTCATGAATTTCATCATTCATGGGGGTTCTCAGGAACAAAAACCTCAAATAGAGGAATGACTAGTTCAAAGCCTGCCATTTGACGGATGGGATTTGTCACAAGGAACGTGTTAGCAACTTCTGTACTTCCCATTCCTGGATCCAAATGAGGTCTGATCAGGAACGTTGCTCCATAAGGATGGTGGGCCATAGGTGGATTGAACAGGCCATAGAAACAGGAGTAGGCCATTTGACCCCTTGAGCCTGCTTCGCCATCCATTATGATCATGACTGATCATCAAGTTAAATACCCTAATCCCAACCCCTCCAATCTCCCTTGATCCCTTTAGCTACGTCCTTAAAAGCACAATGTATTGGCCACAACCACTTTGCAACAGTGCTTCCCACAAACTCACTACTGTCTAGGTGAAGAAATTCCTCATATCAGTCCTAAAATGTTAACCACTTATCATAAACCATGACCACAGATTCTGGACTCGCAAAGCCACTGGGGACATCCTTCCTGCAACTAACCTGTCTACTCCTATTAGAATTTAATAGGTTTCTAAGATTACAGGCTCCCTGCCATTCTTCTAAACTCCAATGAATACAGTCTTAACCGATTTAATCTGTCCTATGTTCAGCATACCTTTGCTGCACCCCCTCTATAGCAAAAACATCCTTCCTCATAAAAGGAGATCAAAAATGCACACAATATTCCAGATGTGGCCTCATCAATGGAGTAAGATATCCTTGTGCCTGTACTCAAATCTTTTCGCTATGAGGCCAACATACAGTTTGCCTTTAGTGCCTGCATGCTTACTTTCAACGAATGGCACATAAGGGCACCCAAGTCTCATTGAACATTCCTCTCTCTAAATTTACAGCCATTCAAATAATAATCTGCCTTCCTATTTTGGCTACCAAATTGAATAACCTCACATTTATCCACATTATACTGCATCTACCACGCATTTGACCACCAACTCAGCCTGTCCAAATCACATGGCAACACGTCTGTATCCTCCTCACAGCTCAGGCTGCTACCCAGCTTTGTGTGACCATCGAGCGCTAGTTGAAGATCAAGATGAATGGCTTCAACCAGCTTGTGAGCTTTTGTTACTCAGTGAACAATGGACTGTGTGGGGGACTGACATTTGTGAGGACAGGAAGCCAGGGGAGGGATGTTGAGTGGAAGGTTCAAGCATGGATATGCATCATTGCATCTGAGTGAATCTCAGCCAGATGTGTCTGCGATAACCTATTCTACTAGCCTGGCACTGTTCACCAGACACGTTGAGACTCAAACATTGTTGTATTCAATCGAATATTAACACGATGAGTCTGGTGCAGAATATGATAGGGCAAGTGCTGAGGTTCAGAGTGTAGTGGAGGCAGCATCCTATATACATCCAACAGATTTAGTTAATAAGTTGTTCTGATTTTGAGCTTTGCTGCTGCTTTCTTTGGATATTCTCAGAAACTCAATGTCCTATGGCGAGTCACTTATAAGTGTATAGCTAGAATCATATTTTAGTGTCCGACAATCCACGCAGATATGCAATTCTTTTTTGGCACTGGAATCGTGAATGTAGAATACACTGGGTATGATTTAGAAGAATTCAATGCGCCACACCACATGCTAGTTCCTGTTTGGTTTAACAACTTTGAACATCTTATCCTGCCACAGATCTCCAGAAGTGGACACTACCTTTAATGTTGTTGAAACTGGTTTCCATTACAGGGACAGCACATGTGATCAATTTCTGGTACTCTTCATCACACTGGATTCGGCTTCCAAAAGAACATGAAACAGGTATAGTGTCCACCTTTCAGCTGCCTACTCTACTGTGTGGCACAATAGCCTGCTCCTAAAGCAGACTGGAGTACTTCCAACCCAGGTCAGGACAGTTGTTGAAACACTTCTCCACAACAGATGATTCAAGAGCCCATCTTGGACAAGGGAGAAGTGCACGGACTGACCAACTGACTAACTGACTACAAGTGCTAACCTTAAGGCTATTTAACATTTTTGCATGTATTTTTTTTTTTTTTTTAAAATGTTCGTTCATGGGATGTGAGCATCACTAGCCAGGCTAGGATTTATTTCCTACCACAAAATGCTCTGGACAAGGTGATGGTGAACTGTCGTCTTGGATCGCTGTAGTCCTTGGGGCATAGGGACACCCAAATTGTGATTTGGGATGGAGTTCCAGAATTGTGACATAACAACAATGAGGGAATAGCAACATTGCTACACATCAGGATGACATATAGCTTCGAGGGGAACTCAGATGTGGTGGTGTTCCCAAGCATATACTGTCCTTGTGTTAGAGATCACAGGTTTGGAAGGTGCTGTAGGAGCTGGTGGTTTGGTGAGTTTATTACAATAAAGGCATTACAAAAACTGCAATTTGTTGTCATTGCTTCTGGGTTAAATTAAATAGTTAGCAAGATAAAACATACAATAAAAACGGCTAAAAGGGAATTAAAATTTAGCTTAACATAAAACTTGAATTATTCATTTTCTATTGCAATGTGTATATAGTTTATAAACTAGCCATTTATCCAAACTATACTGCTATTTTTTGCTTCCTTCATTATTGCTCAAGAGAGCATGGTGGCACAGTGGTTAGCACTGCTGCCTCACAGCACCAGGGATCCGGGTTTGATTCCAGCCTCGGGCGACTGTCCGTGTGGAGTTTGCACATTCTCCCAGTGTCTGTGTGGGTTTCCTCCCACAGTCCAAAGATGTGCAGGGTAGGTGGACTGGCCATGCTAAATTGCCCGTAGTGTTCAGGGAGGTGTAGATTAGGTCGGTTATAGGGGGATGGGTCTGTGTGGGATGCTCTGAGGTTCAGTGTGGACTTGTTGGGCCGAAGGGCCTGTTTCCACACTGTAGGGATTCTATGAATCTATGAAAAAAAAAGAGCTGCTTTAACAGATAAAGCTTAAAATGGAGTCCGGTGCCATTCTGCTGTTTTGTGGAGAAGGATCTGATGGAGGCAGAAATAAAAATATTCTTTGCTTGTTTTGTGAGCAGGCTATGAAACTTGTCGGCTAAATAGAAACAATTTCTGGAATGACAGATCGTGGTTGTACCCAAGTAACTAATCTGAAACACTGAAATCAAACACACCTACAAATTAAAATGGTTAAAGAAAATGTAATTTTCAATTAGTACAAATTGAACAGTGAAACAAGCCACCTGGGGTTTTAAAGGCACACATTTGAAAGGTTGCAGTTTTCCAATATCTGACTATGCTAAAATCAAGATTACAGCCTTAACAGTAACAATAATCAAGTGATAGCAAAGATAAACACAACAGCACATTTGTTCTAAGATAATAAGGTGTACAGCTGGAATGAACACAGCAGGCCAAGCAGCATCAGAGGAGCAGGAAAGCTGACCTTTTGGGCCTAGACCCTTCTTCAGAAATGTTCTAATTTGTTCTAATGTTCTAATTTTTTTGTTTCTAAGTTGCATCCTTTGTGATGGGTCTTACCTACCAAGTTATTGCCAGGAACTGCAATATACAGAAGAGAAGGGCCAGTCCTCTCTTGTGCCACTGAAATAAGAAAAAAGCCATTTGACTGCCCTGTCTTTATCAGCGGGTTATTAATATTTAACATATAGATAATTAACTAGCTGACAGCCACAACAGAAAACAATATAAACGTTTTATTTTTCACTGTGGTTTAAATTAAAAAAAGGTGAAAAAATCACAGGATACGACTTTTATGTTACAGAATTACAACAGATAAAAACGGAACAAAACCAGCCAAATATAAAGTGATCTTAAAAACTAAATCAGACTAGTCGACAATATACCAGTTAACTGCTGTAATCTTGCGCTCTAGCCAACCATGCCAAGCAGGTGCACTGTGCTCTACACATATTTGCCAAACACACATTTCAACAGCATTATTTAACTTTGCCAATTCCTAATATCAGTCACACTAATTAATATTAAGCAAATCTAAGTAATATGTATTTTTTAAATTTCATCAATACAGATACAAAAGATCTTTGTTAAAATTAGATAAAGCACAGTAAGAGACAGTCTCAAAAAGGGCATTCCTTTGAAATTAGAGCTTAGCAATTAAGGAAGAATACCATAAATACTCAAGGAAGTGGAAATCTGAAGCAACCCCACCCCAACCACTTATGGATTCAAAATTCAATTGAAATTTTGGTCAATACAAAATTTTTCAATGGAGAACGCTAAATGCTGTTAGGCAAAGGTCACAGAATGAAGATGAGTACTTGGAGTTAAGGAGGCTGGTTAGCTCAGCTGGTTATGAGGTTAGTGTGTGGCTCAGGATAATGCCATCAAAACAGGTTCATTTTCTGTCTTGGCTGAGGTAGACTTGGGATGCCCCTCATCACCTTACGAGGGCACAAGGCAATGGCAAATCACCATTCGCAAAAACTACCAAGGAAACAAAATAGCCCAGATGACAATGAGCCAAAAACCTGCCTTTGGACAGAACACTCATGGATGACATGAAGATGGTGTTAAGATACAGGTCAGTCATGATCAAATTGTATTGATGTGCATGCTTTAGGGGCTGCGTAGCCTACTGTTGCATTCTTCACATTTGATATGCAAGATTTATTTACAATGCAGCCAATGCCACAAATGAAAAGGCACCGCCTGGAGTACCAAAAAACAAATAAGTGGTCAGTGGACTATTACAGCAATATCAAATTTGGAAATAAGTTACAAGCATGCACCCAACTCTTCCAGGACTTCAGTTCCACGTACACAGGAGCCCTCATGGAAGATTTCATTTGTCATTTGCAAACTTGACAAACTAACTCTGGAAAGCCTGTTCCTACCATGTTTACTTTCCAGCAAGTTCCATGACACAGAGGATCAGGAAGTGCTACTCTGGCTGATTTTACCCAAGGAGCATTAAACCAACAGGCAACATCCTAACTGAAGTCAGCAAACTTAGCACAAACCAAGGTTGAATTAAAGTGGAATAAAAATCAAAAGAACTGTGGTTACTGTGAATCAGAAACAAAAACATAAGTTGCCGTAAATGCTCAGGTCTAGCAGCATCTGTGAAAAGATATCAGACTTAATGTTTTGGGTCTGGTGACCCTTCCTCAAACAGGTTCCAGCAACTTCTGTTTTCGTTTTTGAATTAAAAAGGGATCTTTTGATCCACGCAGCTCAATGGAGGACCATCACAAAGTTTTATTCAGAATTCTAATTAACAGTACATTTCATACTTAAAAAAGGGACAACACATATGCTACCTACCCAAAAGACTGCACACAGCGTTAAGGCGAAGCATAACTAGAGAATAAAAGAGAATAACGTTTTTTTTTGAAAAAAAACGCAGTGTCCAATCATTTCAGCAACTCAAACATAAATAAGCCATTGTTACATTTAGAGTAGTAACTTTGGATGAACTACTTGCAACTGTTCAATTTGCAAGATTCTGCCTTTTAAAAGTATATACGAATGAATGATTTCTTCTCGAATACCCTTTTAACTCTTCACATAAATTACCTTTGGCCACTAAGATAACTGTTTCCCAGCATATAATAAATTTCGGGCTGATGTATTGCAGCAGGCTACAGCAGGAAGTAGCCTAAAGAAGGAAACAGTAAATAAGCATAGAAACAAATCAATTTTAATCTGGATGATGACAATGCACAATCAGGGAACTTGTCATTTGCATATTGTGACCTCTTATATGAAGGCGAAAGACAGGACATAACTAATGAATTGAATTCCAATAGTATCTTCCAAAATAATCTGATAAAAGTTTTTAAAGATGATAGGAGGAATGAAAGAAGTGTGGTTAGCACTTGGTGGAACTTCCAGTCTGCAAGCTCTGCAACAGTATAAAGAAATATGCACAATGAAAGATCAGAAGAATATTTCATCTACAGTTGGTAAAAGATTTTGGTTAGCAGCTTGTGCTCAAAAGTTAGTGAACTATTTTAGCTAATGTTGAAATATCCATCTCAAACAGGTAACGATTAATTCACTGTGGATGAAGTAGCAAATGGTAACTCAATCTGCTGATCATGAATATAATCCTTCTGACTTGAAGTTTTTTTTAATTCACCAGAAGCACCTATAGTTTTCTAGACTGAAAGCCTAGCACTGTTTAGCATTACAAGCTGTTTATTGATATTTTAGAGGAAGAAGGACAAAAATTAATATTTTGTCCAAATAGCAGCTCTTAAGCAAAAGAAAGTAAAGAATATGTAGCTTGGGGAGGCACTATGCTGTTGAATATACCAAGGTGCTCCATAGGATCGCTCTCAAATGGAACCTGACAAAAAGATATTGCATCCAACAAGTGCAGCTCAGTCAAAGAGGTAGGTTTTAAGGACTGTTTCAAAGGAGAGTTAGGAAGAGAGGCTTAGGGAAGGATTCCAAAACTTGAGGCCTTGTCATCTCAAAAGTATGGCTGCCAATGGTGGCGTGTAGAAAGACTAGTGATTTGAGATGGTCAAAATTGGAGGAACACACATTTCCATGGGTTGAAGACAGGAGGAATTAACAGGTGATAGGGAAAGGAGAGATCATGAATAAATTTGAAAACAAGAGTGAGAAAAACTGAGGTATTTTTAAGCAGAAGTGAGAATTGGGCTGATGGATGAAGTGGACTTTGTGCATGTCAGGTGTAACAGCCAAGTTTGGATGAATTTAGGATTATTCCAGGGCTAGGAGTGTACTGGCATAATCACATCAACAATAAATCAAGTTGAGCAGAGGCAGGGTGAATGTGGGCAATGTTTGGAGGTTGGAAAATGTGGTTTTAGGATTGCACAGATATACAGCTGTGTGCACGCACATGCATATACAAATATGCATACCTCAGAGTCAAATACAATATCGCAAGTTTAGGACTATTTACAGGGAGAGGGATCAGTGGATAAGAACTGAAGAATGGCTTTTGAATTGTCAATATCTACTCATCCAGTATTAATGTCAGACAATTTGGAATTTGGAGATAGAGGATTGGAGAAAGCTGGTGATGAGACAAAGTTGGACGTCATGAGCATAAATCTAGAACATTTTAGAAAATGTCACCAAAAGGTGCATCATGTGGATGAGAAATAGGAAAAAACAATTATTGGTGCCTAGAAGACACCAGAATTTTTTGGTGGCGGGGGGGAGGGTGGTGGTGGTGGTGGCAGGGAGGTGTGGAGTGGAAGAAACACCATTACTGGTGATTTTCTTTCTATGTCTGTAGAGAAAATTATTAAACCGGGCGAGTGCAATCCCAACCATCTGGTTGATGCCAGAGAGTGGGTGGAAGAAGATTGGGGTCAATTGCGTCAAAGGCCACAGACAGTTTGAAAAGGATGAGGAGAGACATTTAAAAAGTCACATAACATGTAATTTACAGCTTTGATGCGAGCCACTTCAAAAGTATGATTGGAGTGATTCAAACATGGAGTTCTGGCAAAGGCAGCATAGATTTCGAACAGGACAACATATTCAAGGTCTTGAGAGGAAACAGAGTTCGGAGATATGGAGGTATTTTTTCAGGAACTGAAGAGGCTAGCACTTTTTTTTAAGACAAGGGTTACAACAGAAAACTTGAGAGAGAGCTGGACAAAGTAGAGATTGGTTAACTTTTATCAACTAATGGGGAGGTGGGATGATTAGCAGTTAATCACAGAATGTTTACAGGGCAAGAGATAACCATTTGGGCTGCTGCACAGGCTAACTCTGCTTCACAGCACGATCACAAAGTTCCCTTCTAGCCCAGCAAATTTTCTCATGTGCTACATCCCAGAATCTAAACACTCAAAATAGTTATTCCCTTATGTCATTGTTACTTTATTTCCCAGTTACCTCACATCTATGCCCTCTGGTTCTTGACCCTTTCACCCCAAGGGAACAATTTCTCCCTACCTGTTGTGTATATTCCTCATGATTTTGAACACTTCTATAATATCCCCTTTCAACCTTTTCTTTTCATCAGACCAACCACATTGTAATCATCAATACCCAGGGCCTCAGGAAAGGAGTGTGAACATGGTGCTAAGCAGTGTGGCCTGACTTGAAGGGCCTGAGCACGGCCAACAGTTTTATCCAGCTGTGTAAACCCGAGGTGAGTGCAACAGTGACTTTTGGAAGCAGAAGCCAATGTCAGCATGGTGATCAGCATGCACAAAACCATCCAACGACTGTACAACTTGGCAAGAACAATTAGAGCAAGACAGGAGTGAAACAAAATCTATGAGGAAGCACTCAATCATACAGTACATAAGAGGCCCTTCAGCTTCATTTTGGTAATTAATACATATACAAAGGGCACAACAGGTGTAATGAACTTGATTACCAGCAGAATCTCTCCCATTACAGTCGTAACAAAATACTGTGGAGTCTAGGCGATTGGTACTATCCTTGTATGTTGTTGCTTTAAGTTTAATGGAGAGTTGATAATTGAAAATATTGATTGATTCTTCCAATTCTGCTTCTTTGCAAGGTCAAATATCATATGTGTCAACACAAACATATGAGATATTGTTACTATGTGACATGACCCAATAGTTTGTGAAAATGAATTAGCTTCCACAAACTATAAACAAGCAAAACTCAAGAGATGGAGACTTTATTTGACATACAGGGCCAGATTAAAAGAAGTGAATCTGGTTACATGGCATTAACAAAGGAGAAGCACCACAGCCCATTATTTTTTTCCATGACACTGTCAACACTTCTCTTCTTCCCTTCTGAAAAAACTGTCAAGTTTATTAAACATAATTGCCTTTTAACAAATATATGCTTGTTTTCCTTAACTTTCTCCCAGTTTATCATTCCTCAAGTTTTTTTTAAACTATCAAGATTGACTGGCTAGCTTGTATTTGCTCAGCTTATCCTTTCATCTGCTTTTGATCAAGGTAATAACATTTGCATTTCTTCAGTCCTCTGGTACCAAGGCTGTATCTAATGCAGATGGGATAGTTTTGGCCAGTATCTCCACAACTTCCATCCTTGATCCCTTAGTATTCCTGGATACACTCCATCTGGTGACTTCTCAAATTTAAGTGCAGCTAGCCCTTTTCATATCTCTTTATTAATTTTTAACTTATTCAGTATCTAACCTGCTTTGCCCTCTACTATGACTTCAGCAACATCTTCCTTGGCAAAGACAGATATTAAGTTCAGTACCTCACCATGACTGTTGCTTCTCTGCACAGAGCCCTCACTGTCCCCTAATCAGTTCCCCCTCTCCAACTACACCTTCTCTAAATGCCTTTAGAAGATTTCTGGATTACCTTTCATTTTAGTGGCCACTCTCTTCTCACTTTCTTTCTTTCCCATTTTCCTTTTTGTTCCTCTGAACTACATTGAATTAGTTTAATCTAGTTAAGCTTGGCCGCTTATGGGGAATAAGGTATGTCATCAATAAGAGGTGGATCACGTGACGTATGATGGGGGAATGGGACAGAAATTAGGGGTAGATGAAGTTCAGGGTTACATCATCAAGGAATGTTGGAGAAAGCTTGGTTCAGTGGGCTTCGGGAAGGGAGGGACCCAGGAGAGGCAGCTAAATGGATCTCCATTTTAAATGGCAAATAAGTCCATGAGCTCCTCACACGATGTTGAAAGTGAGGGTCAAATGTTTAATTGCCAGTTTTCCACAGGATATAGTCAGGCTCTACCTCTGCATTATGTGATATTAGTCCGGCATAATGAGCAGCTCTGGCAGGCAGGCAGGCAGACAGACAGGAGTTGGCCTAGTTAATGTTTTATACTGATGGGTTACCTCAAATCTGTGACCCATGGATGAAAAGAACAAACTAGATGCAGGTGACATAAATCAATGCTGTAAAGAAGTTAAACATGTTCCTGATTATTTGGAAGCCAGTGTTGGTTGGCATTTATGAATGCTGTGACTTAAACAAACATTCGGATTTAGAACATGACGAACTGTTAGAATTCGTCAAAAATGTGTAACACCACGAATGAAGGAACGTCACAGATTCTTGGCTTAAAGGTCAGAATTAATAACTGAAAGTTCCAACAGGTTAATTATTAATCAATACAAACACTAGGGGGTTGAATCAAATAGCAAAAAGGAAGAACATTTCAAATAATAGAAATTGCTTTCACATCAACAACTTGCTTCCAACAGAAAAAGCTAATCACATTCATCTGTAGACACTGTCAAAGCCGCACTCAGGAAGAATTTGTTGTCCCTGACTGCAAAACTGCATATTTATGCAATACAGTATTTTAAATAGTATTCTTATTGTTCTAAGCAAGTCTGCAGTACTTGCATAAATACAAACACATCAACATGCTTCACTTCTTTTTCAAAAAAAAAGATAAAACGGAGGGGAAATAAAGGAGCCAGGAGTAAAGTCTATGAGCTTTTCATAGAGGTCTTGATCTATTTTGTGATGCTTTGAGCCAATTCTTGAAAAAAAAACTCATATACAATGTCATATTAATCAGTATCAGGATTTCCCAAATATATATTAAAAACTTGGTCCACTATAGATACAATGGTGCAAGTTGTTTTTGTAAATAGTCTGACAATCTTATTTTTGAGAGAGTTGACTCACATTGCCCTATATCTACACATAGCAATGATGATGAATTATTCAGTTTGCCTGGCTACGAGGAGCAAGAAATTGTCCAGTCATCTGGAACTAGGTACTTAGAAAAATTAACTTTCAGGTAGGTTAAGTTTAATTTTTGCTCAATGGAACATTCAATGTTCATAGCAGGAGATTCAGCCATGATAATGCCACTGAATGTGAGGGAGAGATGATTAGATTCAATCTTGTTGGAAATGGTCTTGCTCTGGCACTTGTGTGGTGCAACTACTAGCAAGCATTCCCACTTCTAGCCTGATGATGTTTGCACATAGGATATCACTGAGGTGGTCTTGCAGCAATGCCTTGGAGCTAAAATGATTAACCTTCAAGAGTGACAACCATTTTCCATTAAGCTAGGCTCGACTCCAAACAACGGTTTTAACCCCCCGCAACTCCCAGTTGACTGTAGTTTTGCGAGGACTCCTTGATGCCAAAGTCAAATGTGGCCTTGATGTCAAGTGTAGTCATTCTCATGTCACCATTCAGAACTTCCTATGTCAAGCAAATAACAGGCATGATACCAAAGAGAATAATGTAACAATAGAGATGGGGCATTGTTACATAGCACTTAACACACATTTTTATGCTTTGATCTATATTTATAGAGGACAGTATTGCAGAAAAGGACTGTTTGAAAGCTGCCAAAAATCTGAGGTAGCATTGTAAAGCTACAAAAAGAAAAATTAAACAAATTTATACAAGCCACCAAAAGAATTGAGTGTATTTAACATAGTTGATTATTTTTCACTGGGAAAGACTGCAGCCATTGATAGAAACAGTCCACAGAAGGAGTTCTTGTACTACAAATTAGATAGAAATCATACATGACTGTTCAAGATGCGATTTTCTATGGAGCAAAATCTTTAGTAGGAAAATTGGACTTGGCAGTCAAACAGACTGAAGTAATTTCGCACACAAACATGAATGCCCATTCTTACACATTTAAAAATCTGTCAATAGCTTGTAAAACACATTGATAGATCAACAATTCTACAATATTCCTGTTTTAACTAAGTAAATGGATGAAACAGAATGAAAGTGACACACAACACTCTACAATAAGACAAAATGTTTCCATTTCTCTCCAATTTAAAATATGCCCGTTATGTTTGATTTTTAAAAAATATTTATATGCATCACAATATAGATTGAGGGCCTCCATTGTTAAGTGTAAGTGCACTTCAAATATTACAGAATGGGGTGACAATTTGTGCAACAGGTATACACAAATGTTGGAATTTGAAAGAAATCTTTTCAGTCACATCAATTAAATGACATTCAAAGCCCCAGCAGCAGATAGTGAGCTAATGAAAGGACCAAATGTTTCAGCAAGCTCTGGTAACTTACTTACTACCTGTAGTTTAAACTGGGTCAAACAAATACAACTTCAAAGCCAGATAGTGCTGAGTTATTTGCCAAAAAGTAGTGGTATTTTTGATCATGGGTTGGAGAGAAAGGATGATGAAGAAAGAGCTATAGTGACAATTTGGATCTATGAAAATTTTACACAAAGTTTGGGCTTGCACTTTTTAAATTAATTCAGAATAATTACTAGGAAAATTACATTTTCAAATCATACAAACATACAAATTACGAACAGTAGGCCATTTGGCCCCATGAGCCTGTGACTTAATTTTCCAAATGATCAGACTTTGGCATCAACTCTACTTTCTGGCCTATTCCTTATAAATTTCAACTCCTTTGTCCCTGTAAGTAATGCCCTTTTATGGTTCAGTACTTTATATACATTTGTTCAATTCATTGAGAGAATGCATGCCAAATTTATAAATACTAGAACTACTGGAAGAAAACTTGCTGTAGTAAACTTCTAATTACCAACATAATAATGGTGGCATACAAACGGTTTGGATCAACCATTTTCTTCAGTTGCTTCAATGGTCCCATGAGAAAGCAGGTGCTAGAATGAACAGACAAAAAACAAATTTAAGTTTTTAGAAACTAGGTTTTGCAAAGAAGATGAGTAGTCTTATGAGGAAAGAAAGAAGGAAAAAGCAGCCTTCAGCTATCAGTCATTGGGCAGCAAACTATGAATCTCAATTAGAATCACCCTTTCATTTCATGGAGCCAAAAGATTTCTAGTTGTGTAGTTTTACGAATCACACAATAGCATTGATATTCAAGTGAAGCTTGTGTTAGGAAATGTAGTCACACTATCACAGTAACTTGATTTTGCATTCAATATTAATTTAAAACATTTATTGTATTAAACAGTACCGACGGCAGCTACTAATTAGGCTTTCTCCAAAGTCTTCATTGTTAGTAATGGTTATAAAACAGTTTCAACAACCAGACTGTATCTCTTAAACTAAAATCTGCATGCCTTCTGCAGATAATAGCAGTTTTTTAAAAAACTGGAGAACACAAGGCATGCAGAATACTTGCCAATCTGAAAGTGGCACAAACTAAAAATAATCTACAAATTTCAAATTACACAAACAAAATTCGGAAATTACCGAATACCAGGAAATCGCTCAACAAATGGAAATAGTCTACACAAATTTCTTTAAAATGCTGTTTTTGGCTTTCAATAATTTCTTGGAATAAATAGCTCTTTGAATAAATCAGATTTGTTCCTTTCTCAAGAGTATAGTCTCAATGCATATCTTTTGGTTTTACAACTACAATCACATTTATAAAGCTTCTTTAACAGATGGTTATTGTCTTACTGCCCTTTACAGAAATATGATTATTACAGGCATGGCCTCCAATAGTGATGTGAAAGAATTCATAGTTGGAGCAACAACATTTCTGGAGGACCAAGGAGGGCTTTTAGCCCAAGGGTGAGTTTGCCAAAACTGAGGCACAGTGCACGGGCACCCAATATTGGTCAGCAAAGTTAGTGATGGATGACCGAGTGGGATTAGGTTTGGACTATGAATTGGATGAATACGCTCATTGAAGGTGAAGTGACTGGCAGGGAGAGCAATGAAATAGACAAATCCGGAGCTGACAAACACATGGACGAAGGATTCAACAGCAGACAAGCCGAAGCAGGGTGGAGATGGGTAATGATACGTTATCAAGAATCCTGATAACATGGAAGCAGGCATTTGGCCCATCGAGTCCCTCTGAAGACCCACACCCCCTACTCTATTCCCTTATCCACGTATTTACCATGGCTTATGCACATAGCCTGCATATCCTTAAACACTACGGGCAATTTTAGCATGGCTAAGCCACCCAAGTCTTTGGACTGTGGGAGAAAAGCGGAGCACCTGGAGGAAACCCATGCAGACACAGGGAGAATGTGCAAACTCCACACAGTCACCAGAGGCTGGAATTGAACCTGTGTGCTTGGCGCTGTGAAGCAGCAGTGCTAACCACTGAGTCACCGTGCTGCTTCGGAGATGGAAGCAGTCATGTCAGAATAGTAAATGCTGTGAAAGGTAATGCCAATGCAAATTTTCTGGCAATGATTTCAAAGCCAAATGGAATCAGGCAAGGTCTGTCTAATAGTATTGGACAGTACAGCAGACATTGAAAGGAAATGTCAAACGTTGCAGAGGTATCAGAAAGGATAAGAAAGAGTTGTGAATCACAGTCACAGGCTCAGAAGCTGAAATTTGTGACCCAGGACTATTTCAGGGCTATGGGTATCTGTGCAAAATCTTGATCAGAGAGGTTTATGAACAGAGTTTTCAAAAAAATGATACAGATTTCTGAGGCAACATGCTCAATTTTTGTTTTACATGCAATTCATGAGTATAAAATTCCAATGAGCTTAGTTGTCACCGGCAATCATTTACGCTTTGATGCAAATCTATTTCATTGAGGAAGTCAAACAGATCGACAGTTATCTTCTTTAAAACATATAAACTATATTTTCAATACAAGAATATCTGGCAAAGTATACATAATTATCATTTTAATAAAAGGGGTTCGTTTATTCACTAATTTAGAGTCAACAATCCAATCTGGCTCTTGTAGATGGCGTGATGGTGTGACTGAACAAGCCTCCTTTTCAAGACCATGTTGTATAAACCAAACGACGTCACACAGAAATTCTTATTTTTCTTAATTTTGGCAATAGTGATATATCTTTTAGCTTCATTTTTTTACAATTGTAAACATACATAAGTAATAGAAAAGTTATTCCTGGGTATTTGTGCAAAATCAGCCATGTTTAATACCAAGAATAGATTTCAAATTCAATTATCCTCAGTAAAAAAGAAGTAAAATAAATTTCAGTCAAAGGAAACAAAGTTGTTTAACATTTTGTCTATGCAAACAATTCTTAGGCAATGTACTGTAATTCACATGAACATTGAATGAGTCATTTTCTATCAACTCTACGGCTTCAAAGCCGATACTTATTGTCTTTTCTGCTTTCATGATGTAGGAGTAATTGTTTTATAACTATGTAAGCACCAAGACTGTTGAAAGCAAATACGTAAAAAAACGCAACACAGATTGACCTTTAGTTCTCAGCTGCTACTTAGGATCATTTAAATCCACATAGATATTTCATGTTATACTGGTTTATTCAATCTGTGCCTTTAATATCTATAGTGGATGATACGTAAGATTTATGTTTAAAGAAATAATTCCTCAATATATTGCCACCACAATGCCTTGTGGACTACAAACTGCCATTAACAAAAATGCTCATTTGGTTTTAATAACTGATAATTAAGGCCAAACTTGGTTTGCTTTGAACATATTACAGTGACTATGTTGCAGTTCACTGTCTTAAAGAATGCATTAACTATAATAAAAAAATACCTAGAAATCAGATAGTGGTAATTTTACTAAGTCACTAATTAAAGCAACATAATACCGACAGCATTTCCTCAAATGCAGCATAACTATTTTCCCTTGTACTCCTCGAAGTCTGTGTTGTTTTTCAGGACTACTTTTCGATTCTCACTATTAAGTGATGAACTAGTACAGCAACAATACATTCTGTAAATTTAAAGGTGCAACACAAAGAAAGCATTGATATTCTACAATTCATAGAATTTGAATTGGTGGGCAATACATCAGACATAAGCTTGCAAGGTTTTATCCCCAAAATAACTGGTAAGCTTTTACAAAACAAAAGCCACGACCTAAACACACCTTCCAGATTGACGTGGTTATTTAATGCATTTCCATTGTATAAGCAAGATTTTAATCAGGCAGTTATTACTCTTTTTATTCCCTCTCAGATCGCCTCAGATTCAAATTTAACAATTGACCATGTTTGGTTCAATAACATTCACTATGTTTTCCCCAGCTAAGTCCTCAGCAAATATAGCCTTAAACTACATTCACGTCCAAGTAAATGCATTACTTCAGTAATTCCAACTTTTCTTCAATCCTCGTTAGCTGTGATGCCCCTCTTTTCCCCTCAGGATCCTGCATGTTTCAGGAAGATCATCAGTTCATAAGATATAGGAACAGAAGTAGGCCATTCAGCCCACCGAGTCTACAACACCATTCTGATGTCTGGTGTGATCATTCTCAATTCTGCTTCCCTGCACTTCCCCATAACCCCTGGTTACCTTTCTGATTAAAATCTGTCTACTTGAACAGATGAACAAGGAACAAGATGGGCCACTCAACTCTACATTCCTGCATATCTCTGAAAATCTTCATCCGCTTGGTAAGAATCTGCCTTAAAAATATTTAAAAATTGCATATCCACTGCCGTTTTTATTCCATCACCTTCAACTTTACCAACAAGCACTTCAGTAAAAAGCCATTCAGAAGTCATGTGCACCACATCAATCATTACATCATTAAGACACTCAAATTAGCTAAATAGGAATGACTTTAACAAATCCACATTGGCTTCCTTATTAATCTGTGTTTGGCCAAATGACTTAATTTTACCCCAAGTTATTGTTTCTAAATGCTTTCCATCACTAGGGTTAAAACTCATCGGTCCTTGGTTGCTGGTCTTAACATTAGAGTTTTCGGAACAACAGTGTCAATATTTGTAATTCTTGTGGTCACTGACATTGTATCTATAGCAAGGGAGAACAGGAAAATTATGGCCAGTATCTTAGTGTTCGTTTATACTTTTGAGTTCATTCCTCTCACTAGGAAAAGGGAATATTTAATATTAATTTAAATGCCAACTAACCTTTTGCAATTCATGCACTAGACCACCCAGATCATTCTGCATCTTAGAACATGGATCTGTATAGCACAAGAATGGGCCCTTCAGCCCATGTGTCAAACATGGTTACAGGATGGTCATGACTGGGAGTTAAATATCCAGGGGTATCAAACTGTACGGAAGGACAGACAGGAAGGTAAGGGAGGGGGTGTCGCTCTGATTTTTAAGGATATCAGGGCAGTAGTGAGAGATGATATAGGTTCTACTGAATAAAAGGTTGAATCCATTTGGGTGGAAATCAGGAATAGCAGGGAGAAGAAGTCACTGATAGGTATGGTCTATAGGCCACCAAATAATGACATCGTGGTGGGGCAGGCAATAAACATAGAAATAGTTAATGCATGTAAAAATGGTACAGCAATTATCATGGGGGATTTTAATCTACATACCGATTGGTCAAACCAGGTCGGTCATGGCAACCTTGAGGAGGGGTTCGTAGAATGCATCCGCGATAATTTCCTTGAACAATATGTAATGGAACCTACGAGGGAACAAGCTATCCGAGATCTAGTCCTGTGTAATGGGACAGGAATAATTAATGATCTCACAGTTAGGGATCCTCTCGGAAGGAGCGATCACAGTATGGTCAAATTTAAAATACAGATGGAGCGTGAGAAGGTTAAATCCAGTACCAATGTCTTGTGCTTAAACAAAAGAGACTATGATGGGATGAGGGAGGAGTTAGGCAAGATAAAATGGGAGCAAAAACTTTATGGTGGGTCAATTGAGGAACAGTGGAGGACCTTCAAAATGATTTTTCACAGTGCTCAGCAGAAGTATATTCCAGTGATAAG